AAGTAAGCATAACTTGCGATGAATATCCTTCCGGGTCCGAGAAGCGCATAAGTCTAAGGCCCGGTTATAGGGTAAGGGTGCTTACACTATTATCGGGGCCGGAATAATTAGGAATATTATCACCTTAGAGTTCCGTTATCGCTACAGTAAAATACACCCCCACTGCGTTGTTCTAAACCCCCATACTAAGTACTTCCGGCAACCCGAAAAGTTAGCGGCGTGGGCCCCACGTTTCAAATCCTGAACCCTTAGCCTCCAGACCGAAACCCTAAACTAAGGCACCTTCGAACAAATCTCCAAACCTCAGGTGAATGAGGGGCCTTAATAATTAGAATACGGCTTAAAGGGGGGGGTACTTTCGTACAATACCACGGGGACTACAAGGCTGTGCTACTGTTAATGAGTCAGACCTTCATATGGCCTTCAAAACTGTCCAAAGTTCATGGATGCCAATGCCTTTTTGCGAAGGAATAAACGACCAATCACTTTTGGGATCGTCCGTTTCAACCTCTGCATAAACGTCTACGAACCACCGGTGTTGGACTCCTGGGTACACCGAACTTCTCTCCAAAGGGGACCCGCGCCGGTCCTCCGTGGCATTTCCTCGTGAGTCAGGCCAACGGCCTAGGTTTTGCGCTGCGGGGTTTAGGGCTTGAAGTGTGCTGATTTAGGGTGTTAGGGTTTCTAGACACCTCATACAAGGTTATGTCGGGCGCGAAGATGGGGCCTAGGGTTGAGGGTTTAAGTGTTGATCTTTTGTGAAGTCTTGAGATTAAAGCTTCGACTTTGACGTACGGCTACAAGCTTTCGTGAGGTTGTAAACAGTTTGCGAAACAGGCTGAGATCGGGGGTTTAGATGGGTTTAGTGTTTACGGCTCAGGGTGTAGGGTTCAGGGCCTAAGGTTTAGGGTTTAGATCGCTTGGCTTCCGGTGCGCTTCGACTACTTAATAGTAGAGTAGGTTACCTTTGCTGACTACTTTTGCGGTGTAATGTAAACCCTACATATTCCCTAAGGTTACTAAACCCTAAACCCTAAAGTCTTTGGTTTCCTATGATTCTAGAGAAGGGCACAGGGTTCAGGGCTTCGAGAAATCGTAGCCTCACAAATTCACGTGGAGGAACTTCTTGAGACGGGCTCAGCTAGGGGAGTCACGACCCCTTAAATCCTAGACCGTAAACGAGACGTCGGTTCAGTGTCAAGATTTCGCTGCAATGTGCCAGAGAAGTGACATCTCGGATTGCAAGGCATCAGAAAATTAAAGCTCCTCAAGCCTTTAGTACAAGCCACAAAGACTCAAAGATCCATGGAAGGAAGTAAAAATTGCGATATCACCTTCCAAAAAAGCCTATTCATGCACAGATTGCCTAGGCCCGCAGCGCCGTGCCTCCCTTCCAAACCACCCTGGCCCGCAAGTAAAGTACCGAAGCTGTAGATCCTAGTAGGGGGAGGGGCTAAACAAGTAGAATCGGGTGGTTGGTCTGTTGTCGTGTGGTTATGTAGTGACTCTCAGGGGATCCTCCTATCAATCATGCAGACCTCTGCAGTCACGTAGGGACCTTAATAATTAGAAGAGGGCTTGGAGTATATTATAGAACACTTCGGTTAAGGAAGTAAGGAATGCCATTGGTAATTACCTTTACATTACACACTAAGGCATTCCCCGAGCGCATTGCTCCTCGCGGACTTTCTAGAGGGTCTTAAGGCTCCACGTGTGTTCCTGTAAAGCCTGAGTAGGGGGTTCCTGCCAGCGTCCTTGTTCAAGGTCGTTTGGGACTGGGGCTTTAATGTAGGAACCTGATTAAGGGATCTCTGTCTGTATAACCCCAAAATATTGCGATTTACCCAAAACCCGAAACCCTAAACCGAAAAAGAGCCCTCATAAAGACCCAGGGTTGTTTGAATCAGTTTCCTACATTAGAGCCGAGGGTTCACAGCAGCATCGTCTTCGGTTTCTGAGGGCAGATCTCCGTAGTAGTGAGATAACTCGTGGGATACACGCGGATCCTTAGGGCTTGGTGAGGATTTAGGGTTTGGGGTGTGGGTGTTTAAGGTCAGGGGTCTGAGTTTGGGGTTCGGTTTGGAGTTCAATGGAGGGATGTCAATGTTTACGGTGACTTCAAGTCCTGGTTGTGTGCTGCAGAAAGTCGACGTGCACGGGTGGTGCGCCGGTGCTCACAGCAACCAGGGTCAGGGCGGAGGTCTGCGCTCAGAGAAGCCCAAGGAGACTCACCAAGCTTTCCGGAACGGAAAAGATTCCCACACCAGACCCCTCTTGGGAGGATTTCGAAGACTACATCGACCCTTTGGCGTCTGGGAAGTGGCTCTTTGGAGCCGCACCGCAAAAACGTAAGGTCTACCTGGTGCCGGCCCTTTTGCTGCACCTGGCACCCGAGGCCTTCAACGGGCCTGCCAAAGAGAAGGTTGCTCTGTGGGTCACACGAAACCCCTAAGCACTTTGATTGGCTTCGCCCGCAGACGGGTGCTGACCTCCCTGAGGCTTTGTACAAGGTGGTGGCTAAGGCCTAAGCCCCACATGTGTAGCTGCCCACGCCAAAACCGCAACCTGCACTTTGCCGGACCTTCCTTGCAGAACTCAGCAGGCTGTCATTCTGGCCTTGGTATTCGGAGTCGCACTTATGGTCCAGGAGTGGGCGCGAACTTGAAGCTTGGCCAAAGTTTAGTAAGAGAATTGCAGGGGTCGGAATATTTCGTAGTCATATCCCCATGATGTCCCTTCTATAATCACAGTGGAATATACCCCGAAGCCCCATTGAAATTGCTGAGGCCTCTGTGAGAGGCTGTCTTCGGTCGTAGGGTTTCAGGGTTAGGGTAGGTTGACGGGGTTCAGCGGATCCGGGTTGAGGGTATGGGAGAGGAAGGAAGCAAGTCAGAAGAAGCGCCGGGTGCCGGGTAAAAGGAAGCCCAAAACAAGGAAGTCGTGTTCCGAACCCCTACTGGGGTTGGGGTTTGGGATCAAAACGGGTGGGTTGGTTCAGGGCTTAGGGATGAAATCGGGCGTTGCAAACTAGAGTCATGTTGGTGGGGTGGGGGTACTATGCTATGATTGCGTAGGGCAAACCACAGGGATCTGAATAGGTATCTGTGGGCTGCTCTGCTGGAGGTTCTGTGAATGTAGGGGATAAGGGTCTTAATAATTCGAAACTATTTTAAGTTTGCTGCCCCCGGTGAAGCCCATGTGAGCATCTTATCACCCAGACTTCTGGGAGGATCCAACAAATAAATCCCTTAAGCGGTTCTTATCCTTGAGTGTAAACCCTAGACACTAAAGGGTCCCAACTTCGGGATTCTGCTTGCTAGATCCTCCCGGCAGTCTGGGCAGTACCTGCAACATCCTTACTGACCCAGCGAGCCCAATTCTCTTTGAACAAGACATACTCCTCAAATGGTAGAGGGGCCCTTCCCATGATTTAAGGTATATCCTTGAAACCCTCTGGCCCCTTCATATGACATATTCCAAGCCAAGACCCTGAGAAACCCCGCCTTGAAGCTTCTACTTCCATCCATACCCTCGAAACTCCAAACCTGGAAACCCTGCACCTGAAAGTCTGAACAGAGCACTTTAAAATATACAAAAAAAAGTGGAAATCCCGAAGCTTCCAGGCATCAAGGCTTCATTCCAGTCGGCCGACGCGAATCTGTCTCTGGAAGGCTTCCAGCGAGCAGCCCGGCAACAGTATTGCGCCCTTTCTTAGTCTCTGAATGAGTTCACTATACACTTGTTTTGGGGTGGGGGGGGTCCAATCGAAAACACTATGGATATTAGTGTACGGTTTTGGGGGGAATCGTATTATGCCCTCTAGAACTGACAGTGTACACCTTTGTAGTTGGTGACCGATGAACTCGGCAACTAAGATTTTTGAGCTTGGGACGACTCTCTCGGGTCTGGGGAAAATCAACCCTGCTTGTCTAAGGACGTTAGTCCCTGAACTCTCCGCCGATTCATAATAGGAACCCATGAGAATTCCTTTTAAGGAAGCGGGTTTAGGGTTCAGCAAAACAAGGGGATTACCCTAAACCCTAAACCCCAAAACCCCTAAACCCTAAACCCCTAAACCCTAAACCCTAAGCCCTAAACCCTAAACCGTTGACCTCATAGAAGTCGAGGGCTCCGTTGGGTTTTGATGGCATGAAGGGGTTTGGCCTGGCCTTGGGGGTGTCAGGTTTAGGGCTCTTGGGTTTGAGGGGGTAAAAAAGGGGCCTCAATAATTACTTATACTCTTTTGGGGGATTCCTCATTATAAATATCGTAGAAATATGCTCCAAAACCCGAGTCTAATTATTAAGGCCCCTACGTTACAGACCTTTGGTGGATTCCATAATATAAATATAGTAGAAATATGCTCCAAAACCCGAGTCTAATTATTAAGGCCCCTACGTTACAGGGCTTAAGGATTGAAACTCGGGAGGCCGGAGGGAGGGAGGGAGGGAGGAGGGGAGCGGTGGCCTTGTGAACTGAAGACTCGGAGAAAAAAAAGTGTACCCACGAAGATCAAAAAAGAGTCCCAAGTCGATATGAAGTAGGAGTTTAGGGCCCTAAACCCTAAACCCTAAACCCTATAAACCCTAAACTTACGGCTTGAGGTGGTATCATCCTGAGGAGTTTGGAACGCGTCTACTTGCAAGTCAGATGCTGACCCTCACAATAAGCGCTACACCTGCAATATTTGGGTTGCTGTCGCATGATACACAGCTGATTCACCTGTTGTGTATTTGTCCATCTATCTACCTGCCTGCCTACCTACCTATCTGTGGCTGCGTTTTCCTAACAAAGGGGCCCCTAGCTTGGCCCCGTGTCCATTGCAGGTCTTGAGAAGCGTTTGCGATGCGGACGTCCTGCTGGATGACAATTTCCAAATCGTTGGGGATAACACTCGCTTGAGGCCGGTACATCTCTATGTATGTACCGATAGCTTAAACAAACATGTGTCATTATATAGTTTAGGTCAGGTGTGTGTGTGTGTGTGAATATACATACATGCATACATACATGCATACATACCTACCTACCTACATACGTACGTACGTACATACATACATACATACGTACATATGTTTGAGGCCCGAGCTTTGCTTGTCGGAGCCGATGCCCATAGTCGAGGCCCAAGCCTCAAACCCCCAACCCCGGCCAACCTCAGGGCGCAAGCCCTAGCCACGGTTTAGGGTTTAGGGTTTAGGGTTTAGGGTCCAGGTTTTAGTCATCCAAAACCCGGTGCCGGCATGCGTGTGTGCCTGTCTATACATACTCATACACATACAGACACATGTGCATATTCATAAGACGTACATCTATAGACATATGCAGAAAGGTATGCTCTCCCCCTCGCTCCCAGATTTATGTATCCACATCCCTCCAACCCCTCCCCACCGCATTGTTTGTGGAGCCTGGATCAAGGCTGGAGGGTTTTCCGGTTCAGGGGTCAGCGTTTACCGCAAAAACCCAGTAGCCGAAATAGTCAGCTATTTCTGCTTGAACCCTATTCAAACCCTACAGTACCCAGCAAAGTGTTTAGGTAGCTACGATCTTCATTTGAGACTAAACGATGCACAGAACCTGCACGCCCTCATCACAAATCGGGACCAACTCAAACCCCAGCCCCCCAAAGCCCCCAAACCCGAAATCGCGATCCCTACACCAACACCAAC